AGAAGAAAAAGTTCCATACACGGTAAATGCTATTACGTGGCTAGAAAGCGGAGGGAAAATTTGCCAAGGAATTTGGCGAAGGAACCTGGCGGCCAGAATTTCCCTCTCCGCGATGTGTACAGGAAATTGAGAAATACGTGTTAAGAAGAAAAGTTCTTTGACAAAAAAGAAAACTACGAAAATCCGTTTTTAAATTATTGCGAAAAATCCAAGAAGAAACGTTTTATCAAAGAACGTTTTTTCTTGGATTTTTCGCAATAATTTTAAAAACGGATTTTTCGTAGTTTTTCCCCTCATCAAAATAACTAATCCATGAATTAATTTACTTGCGCCAAAAAATATTTTCTTTTCCTTTAGAGTTTAAAGAAATTTTAAACGATATTCATTTTATGAACTCCTGATAACGTGACCTTCGAACTTCGACACCGGTTTCGAGCTTTGGCGACAGATATATCGTGCATGCACAGCTGTTTCCCTCTATGATGGAACGGAGCCACGTCTGTTGGAGGTTTTCTTTCTTTACAATACATACTTTTTGATTCTAATCTTCATGGTACCGTATACTAGGATTAAACTCATTTTGTTTTATACGAGAACAGGTACTTTCTTTAGTTCATGCACTGCACATGCAATTCTCAAGGCTACTGGAAACCAAAAGTTGCCGGAAAATTGATTTGCCTTTCTAAAAGACAATCAAATTGGAGCTGCGAAAATTGGCTCTATGCCAGCTGCCCGAATGACACTCACGTGATACAAAACTCACCAAAAAAGTGATCTCTTCCGACGTCGGCGCAAAACTCGCCTTTTTTTGGTGGGATCGTTGTATGAAATTCCCTGACTTTTCCAGATTTTGACTAAAACACTTAAATTCCCTGACTTTTCCCTGAATTTTTTGGTCAATTTCCGAATTCCCTGATTTTTTCCGGTTTTCCAGGTAGCGTGGCAACCCTGACTTCTTCTTGGTGTTGCATTTTCAATGTTGGGTAGTGTATTTGAAAATTAAACCAAGCAAAAACAGGCCATAGCATTTTGAAACACCAAATTTACCCCACACTGATTTGCCAAGACCCAACCAAACACACACAAGACGCAGACAAATGTTTCATTGTTAACAGTGATTTGATGAAAAGCTTTGCCATATCTTAAAATTTGTATGATACTGTATAGTATACAGTGAAACCGGTTCACAAATGAATTATCTGAACAAGGTGATGAAAGGTGTACCAAATTATAAACACTCAAGTCGGCATCAAATGATTTTCAGAGGTGTTTTGAGGTAACTTCTGACAGAAGTAACATTCAAGGCCTTCTAAAAACATAATCTTAATGTTTCCAGTTGCTTAACTTTCATTAACAAAGCATGGCCACAAGAAATTTACAGGGCCATAAATTTGATCTGGAGGAGATTACGACCAGACACCATAGCAGGCAGAAATTTTGAAAGCTTCAACACAGAGAACTTTTTTGTTGTTGATGCTATTGTACATCTAGGCAAAATCATGGGTCTGGCAGTTAACAACAGTGTAAATCACTGGGCAGAAATGTACATATCCCATCCAAGTAGTAGAAACCACCACAAGTACAAGAGCTTGAGTTTCATGCAGTAGAACTGAAGTTCAATTCCCAGTCAAGCAAAGTAGATAAGCTGACAATAGAGGCAGAGGCAGAGTCCTTTCTAGGACTGAAGTCCAGTCCAGAGTAGCAGAGCAGACTCTATGAGAGTGTGGCCTAACTCCAGAATGACCAAGCAGACTTTAAGACAGAATAGCCATGTTTACAAGCAGCCGAGCAGAGTACATCCATAGCTGAATGGTAATACTGAGTTATCTCAAGAAGTTGGGATTGTACCATGATATGTCCAGATCCATCTAAGATGCTATGTTGTTAACAATCCTGTGCTAAGTTTCAGTAAAATTTGTTTCAGCAATAAAACCACATTTTACCTGAAGCTTCAGATCCACCTAAGATGCTATGTTGTTAACATTCCTGTGCTAAGTTTCAGTAAAATTTGTTTCAGCAATAAAACCATATTTTACCTGAAGCTTCTGTGTTATTATGAAATTATAGATTCAAAGTCAGGCAGTAACAAGTTTCCAAGAATTAAAGTCTTAAAACATGCAACATTCAAATAAAAAAATTAACAGACATAGAATAATTACTAGAGGACAATAAAAATGAATTCAAAAAGAAAGAACTGAAACACCTTCAAAAGTAACAGCAGAAGGTAATTGTGGTTAATTGTGGTGAAGTAGCTTCAGAGGAAAAGTGATGAAAAGAAGAATCCTGTTGTTTGATCCATAAAATGTATACAAAATTGCATAAGGTGCAAATTTTCATATAATAAATTCACCCCAACAAAACAGTAGCAAGCTACTGCTAAGCATTTACAATGATAGTATCTTGTCTTACTTTGGAAATATTTTAAACGAAGACAACATAGTATGTTGGACAAATTTTGAGTGAAATGGAAGTCCAGTAAGTCACAAGCACAGTCAAGCAATGCTAAGAGACAAAGAAACTATTGGGTTGGCAACTAAGTAATTGCGGATTTTTTTTAGAAAATCAAAGACAATTTTTTCATGGAACTAAATAACTTTATTCTGTAATGTATTGCCCATTTTGATCAATGACCTTTGCCATCTTTCAGGCAGCATCATAATCCCACATTCATAAAACTTCTGGTTTTTATTAGCAAAAAACTGAAAAAATGAATCAGGTACAATTTGACATCATCATCATTATTGAAATTTTTACCATTCAAGGAGTTTTGTAAAGATCGAAACAAAAAGTAATCAGATGGTGCAAGGTCAGGACTATATGGTGGATGTGGCAAAACATCCCAACCGAGCACCAATAATTTTTGCCGAGTGACCAAAGATGTGTGTGGCCTTGCATTGTCATGATGGAGTACAACACCTTTTTGATTTGTCAATTTGGGCTGCTTTTCTTCAACTGCATTGTTTAATTTCATTAGTTGTTCAATGTAGACATCAGAATTGATCGTTCGGTTGGCTGGTAAGAGTTCAAAGTAGACAATTCCTTTGTAATCCCACCAAACTGATAACAAAACCTTCTTTTGATGAATATCAGCTTTTGATGTTGTTTGAGTTGGTTTACATGGCCTGCTCCACGATCTTTTCCGCTTGATATTTGTTGTAAACAAACCATTTTTTTTGTTGCCAGTTATCAGTCGTCGTTTAAAAAAATGCATCATTTTCATTACGTTTCTTTAGCAAATCGCAGCTGTTAATGCATTGCGTTAAATGCGTTTCTTTCAGTTCGTGAGGAACCCATGTATCGAGTTTTTGAACATAGCCAAGTTGTTTTAAGTGATTTTCAATACATGTATGTGATACATGAAGCTTCTCTGCAATCTCACATGTTGTACTGTGATGATCCGAATCGATTATTGCTTTGATTAAGTCGTCATCAACTTCAATTGGGCGACCAGAGCGTTTTTCATCTTTGAGTGAAAAATCACCAAAACAAAATTTGGCAAACCAATTTTGACACTGCCGTTCTTTTAAGGCTTCGTCACCATAAACAGCACATAACTTTTTATGAGCTTGCGATGCGTTTTTCCCTTTGCGGAAATAAAAAAGCAAAATATGACGAAAATGTTCCTTTTGATTTTCTATTTTTCAACGAACACCAAATGAAAACTACGCAACCGATCAAAAAAACTCTTTTTACTGATTGACAGCTGAATTGCCAACTATCAAATAACAAAATGTGTTTTACATTTGTACTACGTCTGCAACCCTAAAAATTCAACTGAAGCCATCTATGAGTGAAATCCGCACCCAATATATTGCCAACCCAATATAAAGATATCTCAATACGGCATCTACCAGATGTTTTTAAGGAAAGAGACTTTTCACCCAACCACCACCTTTTTTCTTTTCCTCTGCACTTTCCAGTTATATCATCCACCACAGGTATAGTAAAATTAAACAAAATTTTCATCTGTTTTATTGATTATCTTGTTTATCTTACATAAGGATTGTCACTGTTTTTGTGTTTATGTTGTATACAAAGTATTGCAGTAAATTTTAAATAAGTAGCCATCTATGATGTTCCAGGAATGGATTAATCCCTTTTACATCAATTCCTATGGGAAACATATTTTTGGTTTACAGATATTTTAAATGAAAATGGTTTTCAGAAGTAATTAAAGACATGAACCAAGGTTTCAATGCAGATACAAGGGAGAGGTGATAGTGTTACTTAGGTCTGTAACAGTCTTTAAGTTATGCATGGCACCTGGAAAGTGTTAAATAAACACATGTAATGCAGTTTATGTGACAATAGAAGCCAAATCCTCAACACCCTTCATTGTGTTTTTATGGCTCATTGCAAATTTTCTATTGAACATGACTTACTTCAAATCACCTGCACTAAGCAGATGTGACTCACATTTCTTACTGTCTTTTATGTTCATCTGGACAACCAATAAATTTTAACCATTTCAACAAGATGTACCACTCTGCTTTACATTTACAATTTTTATTACCAAAACATTAGGGCTAGTCTTTGTCTTTATTGAGCCATAAAGGTATCTGGATGATCCAGCTGATGCTTTGATGCAAGAACATAAAAAGTATAGATACAGTATGTCTTCATTGTTCTATCATTTCAAAGATTATATTAAAAACAACAGTTTCTTAATTTCATACATGTTATTTGTATATATACACATGAGAGAAAGGAAGAGACAGTACACTATACATGTTACTTAAGGCTGATCATGTCTCGTTGCACATAATTTGTCAATTATATTTCAGCATTTTTATATAAATTAAATAATGCATTTATAGCCTTCAATATTGCCTACAGCTTTATCTAATAGAAGACTATCTTAGAAATTTACTAACACAGAGGCACCATTATACATGAAACATTTATTGTATAATATTTCTTTTCAAATTCAAACACTTTTCCGTGTTTGAATTAGGGGGGGGGAAATGTAAACATTGTTTTCAATAAATTTATTACTGTACCTGTTAAACTTCCATCTGGCATCTTTTCTATGGTTATTGTAGATACAGGTACACTGACTACCGAACTGCCTGGACGTACTGTCTGCAAGGATGTATTAGAATTCTCACTCACATTCAAGTCAGAATTTGCAACAAAATTCAGCTCCTAAAATTCAAAATAAACTCATTAAAAGTGAAAAAAGGAAAGTTATGAGTACATTAACGAATAAATGAAGTTTCCAAAAGAAAAACTAAAGATGATTTTTTTTTGGGGGGGGGTGGCTCACACTTGAAATTAAATTTATTTAGAGCAAATACATTAAGCTTAATTATCCTCCATGCCAGAATGGGCAAATAGCTTTTTATGGCCAAACAGGCCAATAAAAAAATCAACCTTGAACCGAGATTTCGTTCCCAAGAGTGACCAAAGATTCATCTAATATTATCCACCAATACAGCCATAACGGAATGCATGTGCAATGTAGATACTGTGTGCAGATATCTTTAACTTCAGTTTCATCTTTGCAACAGTAAATATGTAAATTTTTAACTTTAGCCAAACCAAAACCCCTCTGAAAATACATAAAATCAATGATAAATGTCTTGTGTTTAATGAAGAATGAACAAATAAATACTTCTTTGGTAATACAGGGAATCAAGCAGTGTATTTATTGTGTCCTGAAACGAAAGCTGTGTTTTAAGAAGTACACAATATGAAATGACCCCACAAAACGAAATACAGCTAATTTGGCTGGAAACTTTCCAAGGAAATCACAAAATAACAGCTGATGAGTATGTGAAAAGGCTTCAGAAGAAACTAATATTTTTTTACAAAGTAATCAACACTTAAAAATAACTCTACAGAAGCAAATTTCATAGAACTAGAACCCGCTAAGTGGAAAAAGCTTTTTTTGGATGGCAAGTTTATTAGCCAGTGTATGGTAATAAGTATATTATGTCCAATATGAGGAGAAAATCTGAAAGTATTTCATTGTCAAGAAGGACTATAGTGCAGCGCATTAAACTCAATTAGTGACAAAATCCCCGAAGAGTTTGAAGACTACACACAAAGATTTTGTTAGGTTTCCTTTGACACTGGGTGACAGCACAGAGAAGATAACAAAGACATGCATAATAACTCATTTTTTACCATGGAATTAACACTTAGATGGGTGACTGAAATACAGATCACAGATGCAGAGTCTCAAAAAGGACTGCTGTGCCCAAAATTCTTTCCTCCCCAATCCTTCATGGTGCAGAGATAGTCATCGTCCAATAACCTTTCCCTGCCACTTGTCCAATGACCTTCATGCCTCACAACTATGAGGTTTTGTAAATTCTCTCTCCTTTTGCTTCAGCAGTGAAATGTTATGCTTGAGGCAAAAACTTTCAGTTGTCTTTCGCATGATTTACTTTCTCTCTAGAAATCTACACAAGCAACTAACCATGCTAATATGCATAGAGTACATACATATGCAAATGAAGCATGTGTTCATTTGCAACACTAGCACGAATATGTAACATGCATGTATGCTAACTGAGTATGTATATGCAAACAGATATATGTATATTATTATATGCACATGCAGATAAACCCATACATATATGTCTGAGATCTACTATGTATAAATGGTGTCCCGTAAATGTTGCGACAAACTTCTGGGGGACGTAGGGCACATCAAAAGGATTAAGAATTTCATAGGAACCCATGCCAAGAAACGTCACTGTACTCCATCAGGGGATGTTGTACAGGAGAGTGCTAGTGGAAAGTGAGGATTGTCTCATTCGAGCAATATGTACCACACGAAGAGAATGGAAAGCTATACAAACGGAGAGCCTGCAGAAATGCACTTAATGCATGGAATAGCTCAGGGTCATGGATGAACTGCTGCATGCATTTATGAGAACGCTTTCCTGACAGATATCAACCACCACACAGTTTGTTTGCATGTCTGCATCAAAATTTGTGCAACTACAGGTCATTAAGAAGTGGCAGGACAAGTGAGGGTAGGCCACGATCGACTCGCTCGATCGTTAGGGAAGAAAGTGTGTTGGATATGGTAGAGAGTAATCCAAAGACCAGATTATGTACCATTGCATCTCAATTCAGAATGTCTCGTACCAGTGTCCAGTGTGTCTTGAATACCTATTCCTTTCACGACTTTCGTCTCCAAAGGGTTAAGTTAGTGCTCCCGATGACCATCCTGAATGTGTGCATTTCGCACTTTGGTTTCTGTAAGAAAATGCCTGTTATGTTAATTTTTGAGCTTATGTGTTATTCATGGATGAGGCCAATAGGGGATGGTGTATTCAATCACCACAATTAGCATTTGTGGGCTCAAGAAAACCCCCATGGTGTGCAGCACCACGCCGCTCAACAACACTTCAAAGTTAATGTCTGGGAGGGTTTGGTCGGCAATTGTTTAATGCTGCTTGTGGGGAACAATCAAAAGTGTCATGTATCACGATCCTGTTGTGTCTGAAATGGATCTTGTGGTAAAACTCGCCTGTCCAGTTGCTACAATCAAAGAAACTACCAGTGTGTTTGAACATGTCCGGCAATCAATGGTCCGTCGGTGTCAGGCATGTTTGGCGTCTGATGGTGCAAACTTTGAGCATCTGTGTAAAATTTAAGCTGGCGTACACCATTTGCATTCATGTCCAATAAATATTTCAAATTAACTCTTGTTTAACATATAAAATTTTTAACATCATCTTAAAGTAGATGTATTTCTACACACAACAGCAAAAAAAAAAAAAAAATTTTTTTATTCAAAATTTAAGATAATACATGAATTTACATACTGGCACGTTACGAAATTTGGCATGCTTATAATAAGTGATAATAACAATAATGTGGTTTACACATTATGTTAAAATTATTTGAATGAATGAAAGCTGGACCTTTTTTCTGCTCGTGCATCAATGAAAAAAAAGAACGTAGATTGCCATAAATTAAGAATTTTGCGAAGTGAATCATTCTTGGCGCAACTGAAAAAAATTTGCCAAGATAAATTTTTAAATTTCTCCATAAGTTTCACACTAAATTTTACAAAATTTAATATTTAGGCAAAATTTGAGTCATAGAGACAAAATATGGAAAAAAGTGGTATATCATTTCAGAAATAGTTCGATTTTGTGTCAAAATACCTACATTAGAACAATGCTATGTAAAAAAACTAATACATATGCTAAGTCATGCTTTCGAGACATAAAAAACGCAATTTAAATTTCGTCAATCGGCCCAATAGAACGGGAAATATAGAAATGTCCCATCCCCCACACAGTGTACTTATATATGTATATGTGTGTATATATATTTAAATTAAATATTATATTAATACATATTATATTAGATTTAAATTCAAATATATATTAATTTTTTTTCTATTCCACGCAGAAGTTTTATGCAAAGAGATGAAACACAATAATTTATAATGATAATTTTATGGAAAGAGACTCATTCATATTGAAAAGTCGGGATCTTTCTACGAGATCAGCAACATTTAATCTTATACTTCTGCTTTCTATTTTTCGTTTTTAATATTTGAGTTTTCATTAAATAAATTTAATACAATTTCCACATTTTGCTTTCTGCAGTTTTACAGCATTTACTAACTTGTAAAAAATCTCTCATTAAATTAGCATTTACTCCATTTCCTAGGAGATAATCAAAATAAATATTAACAATTAAAATACAGATACATATGCTTCTTTTTGCTTAAACTTTTCTTATGGGAAATTGTACCCATATTGATAACAATCAGGTCATACCTTCTGTCAACTGAATATCACTTATTGGCATATCTGTATGTTCGACATACACTGGTGGTCCTCAAAGGTTCTATGCTCTGCTGTAGCTAAAAAAAAGTTTGTTTTTTTCCACCCTGTTCAACGAACATACGGGACAGTTTCACACAGAAAGTAATTAACCAAGGCCCACTAACAGCCGATTGGTAACAGTCGCTGAACCCTGGTTCTTTGGTCTGGGATATGAATCTTGATAAACAGGCTGGCTGTATGGACATTTTTGTGGTTTTCCTCATGTGTAACGTGGATACGAGGCAGTTCCTATGAAAATGCCCCTTTCCAAGCAATGCCTAGTAGCACAGCACATGGTAAATAAATAATATATAGTCCATAATAATATTATTTGTTCATATAACGTAAACAGCGCTAGCAATATTTTGCATTAATCATACAACTTTATTCATTCACACTATCTCTTGCTTTTTTTAAAATTAAGAATGAAATTGTCATCACTGTGGTGAAGTAATAATGAGAAATACTAAATAGCATTTGTAAAGTCAGCGTTCCTCACATTCCTGCGCATGACGATAAAATCCTGCAGAAGTGACCTGCATAACAGAATCTATATTTTGACAGGATATTTATCTGTTTATGACAATTCCAGTATTTATATGCATATATAAATAAAAATTGGAATATCTGGATTACAACCAAGCACAAATGGGCAGATAGCGCAGAGGGCTATCTGCCCAAGGAAGAAGGGGCTTCCTGGAGGATATTTTAAAGAAAATTGATTGGTATTTACATTCACATGAGACCACATGCAGCCAGCTAGTTCATTGAAATGTGAACTGAACCTAGCTATCAGTGTTCATCGATTTTACTGCTCGACCTCTGGGTCTATATAAATAAAGAAATAAAGTTTAGCAAACCAACTTGAAATTTTATGATATTAACATTCATTTCACCAATTTTTCAGCATCATAAAAAAATAAAAATTAATAAATTTTAAAAAAATCTCAAATGTTTAAGATTTTAAATTACGTCCAAAGGGACGTATGTTACCTTTATTTAATCATTTATTAAACCATAAAATTCAGTTCAACAGCAATATCGCAAAATAGTTTTAAAATGAGCATATGTTTAGAATTTCCGATACACAGACTTGCGCACTGGAGATAAAAAGGTTCCCCCCCCCATAGAGTGTTGTCATTGCTTGCTTTTAAATCATTGAGTTTGATACTCAAAAATTCATTGAAGTTTTAGAAAATATGAAATCGATAATAAAACAAAATTCCAAACTTGGGCTTCCATATGCCCATATTCGTAGGAGGATTACGTCATTCAAAAAAAAAAAAAAAAAAGTCTATTTGAGGGGTTATATGTATATGTATATATTGAATTAATGTCAAGGGG